ACTGAATTAAACATATATGATATTGTTTATAAATAGAAATTGATATTTTCTGTTAACATTCATTTAAATATATAAAAATTTTAAATATTTTTATATAATTATAGAAACTGTATTCTTAGGAATAAAAATTCCTAATGATAATAATTTTCACAATAATAAATATTTTTTATAAATGTTCTATTTACTTTTATTCAGAATTGATACTTACTCTGGCCTGATGTAATTCAACTCCATACATATCCAATCTTTTAGCATGATCCAAAAAATTAAATTCTGCATCAGCTGGAGTTTGACCTCTGTAAAATATTACATTAAATACATAAAATGCATTTATAAACATATAAAATTAATTTATTAATTTTATTTCTATTGTTCACACTAAACAAATAAATATTTGAAAATTTAAAACATTATATTTTTTCAAATATTTTGGGTGTGATACTTCATTCATACAATAAAATGCTAAATATGTTTTATTTATATCCTGTTAGTCAAGTTTAAGATTGAAGATCATCAAATATATTAGGAGTCTATTAGCTCAAGGAAAATAATCAGAATAATACCATTTAGATATGATTCTAATGCTTGACTATGGAAGATTAGTTGTTAGTAGGCATGTTTATAAAAGTAACAATCTAACAATCTAAGACTCACTAACAATCCTAAATATATTCAATTAGATTCAAAATCTATTTTCTATCAAGTTAAACATTTGTAAAGAAAGAAAATAGGATTACTATATTATATTTTTGATTTTAATTTATTTTTGAATGATTTTTGATCATATAAATAATATACGATATATTTCTGTTAATGAATATTATATTTATCATTCTCAAATAGTGTAAATATGTCAGACCTCACTCCTCAACATGCAGTCACACTCACTGTGGTCCTGGGTAACCCCATGAAGTGTATGAAAAGTGTCCAAAGGAAAGAGAAAGTTAATGAGAGAGAGAAAGAGAGAGAGAAACTTAAATACTTGAAACATTACAATAATTCATATAATTACTGTATATGTAATTAAATATTTCTAAATATGCAATTCATGATATTAAAAGTGTATGGTAAGATTTTAACTAAAAACTAATATAGTAAAAATAAATTGTACATCCTTCGGAACTTAGCATAAAGTTGCTATTGACAAAAAATCATATAGGAACACTCCTTTTGATGAAAAAAGTAGATTTATTTTATAACTTAGAACGAATCTTAGAAATAAATTTATTATGAATCTTAGAATACAAATTTGTTTACTATATTATGTAATCTAAAATATTACCATAGCAAAATTAAACTTCATAATTTAAAAACAATAAATAATTCCTGTTCTTTATTTGATTTCTTATACAGTGGAACCTCGGTATACGACCTTAATCCGTTTCTGATGTTCGGACTTATACCGAATTGGACGTATACCAAACCAACCTTTCCCATAAGAAGTAATGTAAAAATGATTCATTCGTTCTCATGTAAAAAAAAAATGGCTGGCTTTAAACACCTCGCTTTCCTGGCTAGTTCCTGCTTGATTTTTCATGAGATCAGCATGTATCTTTTTAGCTTTCTCGCAATAATTGTTTCCGATACGCTGTCTCCAGCACATTGTTTTTCAATTATCCAAAGCAAAAGCAATTTCTCAACATGATCTAATGTCTTCATCTCTGTTTAGAAATTGATTTAACCCCTTTCGCAACGTTAGCAGATTTAATAATGTCTTTATTTTTCACGAT